AAAGATGGGTGGATAAATCCACCTGAATTAGTTGACTCTTGAAGTGCCCTTATGTCTTTTCAACCCAGCTTTACTCCTATAGGTCCAGATGGCACAAATTAATTCAGTTTGACCAGGTGGTGCTTATCATAATAATTGAGGATGAACTTGGATTTTTTTAGTATAAGGTGAGGAAACTCTCTCCTTTAAAGCAGATTGGTACCTTCTCTGCAACTTATAGCCTTACAGAGTTGCCTAGAGCACTAACAAAGTGATTTTCCTAGGATCATACACAACCCATATGTGTCAGAGGTAGGACCTGAACCCAGGTCTATCTGAATTCAACTTCAAGTTTCTAATCACTATAGCACATGGCCTCTCCTAATACTGGCACATTAATTGTATTCTCAGGCAGAAGTGTAATAGGCATAGGGATAAGGGAGTAACCACCCAGAATAAAGATGAGAAAGAGAGGGAAGAAGAGAGAGGGAGAAAGATCTCTTATAAAAACAAAAGACATCAACTTGTCCCTTAACTATAAACTAAAAGTGAGAGAGTAAAGGGCTTATACAATGAGTGTGGAAAAGGAGAAGTGATTTTAATATGGTTCTAGGACTTCCCGGTCCTCTAATATGTAACAAATCAAGTAACAAGAACATGGTAATAAAATTTCTGATTTGCAAGAAACCTCAGAGTTCCCTAAGAAGGAATCCATTCTGTGATTTCCACTACAAGGTATGAGATAGCATCTGATTGAATTCCTCCTATGAAGGGGAAGCCACTGCCTTTTGTACCATTTTTCCGCTTCCATGGTACGTTATAGTTTTGGACAATTCTAATCCTTAAGAAATTTTCCTTTATATCAAGCCAAAATTTGCCTCTCTGAAACTTTTACTCCTTGTGCCTAGTTTTGCTGTTGTTTGTTGTTCAGTCACACCAGACTCTTCGTGACTCCATTTGGCATTTTCTTGGCAAAAATATTCCAGCTCATTATACAGAAGAGGAAACTGAGACAAATAGGGTTAAATGACTTGCCCAAGGTCACATAGCTAGTAAATATCTGAGGTCACATTTGAACTCAGGATTCTTCCTGACTCCAGGCCCAGCACTCTCTCCATCTAGCTGCCCTAGTTTTGTTATTGAAGACCAAGTAAACCAGTCTTCTTCCCCCTAACATTTTTTTTTAAATACTTGAAAGCAGGTCTGAACACAAAAACTTTTCTAATGTTAAGGAACCGCTGCTGGGTCCAAAGGTGTTGGAGGACTGCACCTTCTCCCTATGCAGTTCCCAGGTATGGACTTGGTTCAGTCTTGAGAGGCCCCTTTCTTCTACC